ATGATTGATGATGATAGATAGATGATAGATATAAATGATTGACATTGATAGATAGATAGATGGTAAGTAGATAGGTAGGTGATAAATAGGTGATAGATAGATGGATGATAGATAGATATAAATGATAGATAAATGATTGAAGTGTGAGAAGCTGACTCAGGGCAGAGACTGGTCCTTTCTGTTCAGACTCATGCTAGTTCTCACAAACTTCTGTTCTCAGGAATTCTCCAGGTTCAGACTGACCCTCTGACTCTGTGAGAGGAACTGAGAGCATCTTGCATGTTTTATTGCCTTGGCATGCAGGATTTTCTATGGTTAAAAAGGCTTCCACCTCAGGGATACGGGGAAATCACTCTTTCGGACAGAGAACGAAGGGTAAGGTCCGCAGATAAGTGGCGGAGGGATAGCGCTATTAAAGTTCCCGGGATCAAGGGACGGAGTTAGGACCACAGGTAGTGGCGAAGGGACAAGCCGCATCAACATGGGATCGGCGGGTTCAAAAATGGAAGTAAGAACTGCGATAGTGCAGCTTTTGAAAAAAGGAGGAATTAAGCTTAAGGAGAAGTAGCTTGTGAGGAGTACTCTAAACTGGTGGCTTGTGGCAGGAGCTGCTTGTGATGAATCTTAGAGCAGCAGGTAGTTCGTGACAGAAGCTACAACTCTATTTTGCTCCTTTCCAGGTTCCATGAGTTTACAACAGATGTCAAAAATAAAACAACACACTACAAAACTTACAAAATTAGGTTACTGATATCAGTTATATATTATTTTTGCCTTGTTTGTCTCACTTTAAATGGCATGTTTGTGTCTCCATGGTTACCTGTTGTCACCTTATTGTTCCATGGATGTGTTTTAGACAACCCATGTTTGTGTTACTCTTAAATGTTCTAAAGCTAAAGTTGTAGTTTGTGTTACTCTTAAATGTTCTAAAACTAAGGTGTGTCCTCCCTCTCTTGTCATTTTCTTTCTTGTATGTTACCTTGGACACCTGCTTGGTACATACGTACCTCTTTTGCTCCACAGGGTCAAGGCACTATAAATTGTGCTCCTGGCAGTCTCCAGTCACCGCTACCAAACTAACTGTCCTTGTGTTCCCTCTTGCCCTCTTTGTTTTCACCTTTAGGTAACTCTACAGCTGATAAATTGTGACATCCTCCCTTATCCTCATTTGGGGGAGAGGGCATATTTATGTTTTTTCCATAGAATGCTGACAATGCATGTTGGGTACCTAAATGCCTCATCTGCTTTGCAACATCTCCAGATTCTATGCCACCTGTGGCATCACTACACCATCCATCATTACACCCTGTGTTCCCAATATTTTGGACTGGATTTTTAGACTCTGTTCATGTTTCCTATGGACTGTTTCCACTGCCTGGCACCCACTGTTCTCCTCTCTCGACTTTGCCTGTGATGCTGTGATTCTCTCTGTGATTCATTAATTGTGCCACATGCTTTGTGCACCATTGTTTTAATCATTTATGTAATGCCCTTCCATGCTGTACACTGTTTGTCCCCTTAGGGTCCTTTTGTTTGCTTGCAGGGGGGACTTTGTGCGGCTCTTAAAGAGAAATGAGGTTTTTACCTAGATAAGACTGGTACTATAAAAGATAGCATGAAGATCTTGAGGGAGGGGCTGGAGCAGCGCAAAAGGGAAAGGGATCAACAAGATGGTATAAAAATTGGTTTTCCACATCACCTTGGGTTTCAACCCTCTTGCCCACCATATTGGGGCCCCTC